TGTGCTCTGTTAATGTATTTCCTCATTCTCTGCAGGCACATGTGTATCATTTAGTATCAACAATCTAACAAGCAAGTAGAAGGAGCCTTCAGAGTCAAAAATTTATCGTAAGTTCTTTTTTGAAGAAGGATTGTAGATAAAAACAAGCCATCGATAAATAGTTTCCCTTCATTTTTGTCATTTCTATAGCCCTTAGGCTAAAGCAAAACTTTACAAATTTAAGCTCATTTTTGCCATCTGCTGGCAAATTTGTGAAATACAAGTGGTCTGCATCAACCAACATTTGGTTGATATATCCTGTATTTTATATATTTGGCTAAAACTGGTGCTTGTTTGACAGCTTACTAAAATGTTAATATTTTCCAATTTGTTCAAATATCTTACCTTAGCATTTTTAGGCAGAGACTAAATAAAATAAACCATCCATTTTTACAATTCCCTTCTTCATCAGTTTTTGTTATAGACATAGAAAAAGTGAAGATCTTTAGTAATTGAAAGCATAAGTTATGGGATAAGTCGTGCCTGGGTTAGATTCCTTTATTGATAAATAGCTGAATATTCTTGGGAAAGGCATTCGTTCATTCACCCAAGGAGTATGCGTTAGGACCTGGGCATGTGACTGTTAGCAACACAGATAGGATAGCTACCATCATGAGGCCGACAGTTTTTTTAGAATCCAGGCTCCTCACTTGCACATATATGTAATTATTGTAATAAATTCATAAAGATTATCTGCCAGTGATTTGCCTAGGGCACTGGGCATAGCATCTGGCAGGTTTGCAATAAAGTTTACCCATGATAATGTTGGTCATTGTGATGTTGACACTCATCACTCATTCTACCAATTTGATAAAAACAGTCATATAAGCGTGATTAAATCCTTCCTGTCAGTACTAGTATTGCTCTTTATCCAGGGTGGGCATTCCTAAGGACTTCTATATCCCTGATATATGACAGAAGAAGCTTCTGAGCCTCTCTGAGGCAAAGAACAAAGCACATGAGATCAGATGTACCCCATACATTGGATTGACATTGTGGAAGTTCCAGGGTTTAGACAGGAGGTCTTGTGTGCTTCCTGCTTTATCTTGGAAACCTGCATAGCTGCCAGGAAAGCAAGCTCACTCTAGCCTGCTGGAACAGCAGACACATGGGGCCACATACAAGGACAGATGCACAAGTGAACCCAACTGAGTCTTGCCCAAATTTGTCCCCATAGAATTATGAGTTAAATTAATAGTTTTATTTAAAGCCACTAAATTTGAGGATAGTTTGTAGCAAAAGCTAACTGATACAATGACATTTTTCATGGAATGCTCTTTATAGGAATTTTTTAATGCAAACTATTACGTATAGTCAAAAATTCCTGTCTGATTCCATCTTCATATAATTCTACTGTAATAATTTAGCTTTTTGAAAAATGAAAGAAATTTGCCTAACATCACACATCTAGTAAGTGACAGAGCCAGGATCTGAACTCCAGCAATTGACTTTAGCATCTAGGAAGACTCTTCACTTTGTACTAGGCTGGTGCAAAAGTAAGTGTCATTTTTCCCACTAAGAGTAATGGCAAAACCCACAATTACTTTTGCACCAACCAATACTATTAAACCATCTAAAACTAGAGGATTTTCTGTAACAACTTCAATCTTCTGATTAAGTTTCTGATTTTTTTCTGTATAAAACATTAAAATAATATATAAAATTCACAAAAGTAAAAGAAAACCATAAACTCACACTCAAGAAATAACTAACATTAACATATGGTATAGACATGTGTCGCTTAATGACAAGGATCCATTCTGAGAAATGCCTCATGAGGCAATTTCATCATTGTGTGAACATCATAGAGCATACTTAGATAAATCCAGATGGCATACCTTACTACACACTTATGCTATATGTTGTGCTATGCTAATCTCCTTCTTTATCAGCTTTGGTCATGTACATAGAAAAAGTGAAGATCTTTAGTAATTGAAAGGATAAGTTATGGCATAAGTCATGCCTGGATTAGATTCCTTGATTGATAAATAGCCTATTGCTATTTAGCTGGTTAGTAAATAGTCTGTAGCCTATTGCTCCCGGTCTACAAACCTGAACAGCGTGTTACTGTACTGAATACTGTAGGAAACTGTAACACAGTGGCAAGGATTTGTGCAACTAAGTATATCTAAACATAGAAAAGATACAGTAAAAAGATATGTCATTATAAACTTACAGGGCCACCATCACATAGGTCAGCTGTTGTTGACCAAAACATAGTTATGGGGCACATGATTGTATTTGTGCATCTAGATTTTTTTCTAAGTGTATAAGTGTGCATGTATTCTATAAAAAGCAGAGCATATGGCACATATTACTTTGTAACCACCATTATTTCAGCAAACCACCGATTTTTGCACATTTCTGTTGCTCCAGGGATTATCTGATTGGGAGGAATAGAAACACACTAATATAATAAGGTGTATGTGTATGCATGCCGGAGGTGGCAAGGTCAATGATAAAATAATACAGACAGTTGCACAGGAAATTTTCTCTCTCTCTTCCTCTGAGGCCATTGGTCATGGGGTCAAAATTATTTCTAACCTTCTTTCTCCTCCTTATAGAATGAAGCTCTTCTCAGCACACTGCCTTTGACTTGACGGAGCTTTTCATGAGACAGGGACCACCATTGCCTTACTTTCTGTGGAACTTGGACACATTTTAGAGAAAAAGAAAATGGTTCAGTTCAACTACAGGTCCTTGAACAAATAAACTTTGTACATGTCTGTGGGGTAGGGTAGGTAGGAGGAACTGATGGTATTTCTGTTTTCTTCCCTGTGTCGAAGGTGAAACAGGTTAATTTGTAGAGTAACCCCATAATGGTGAACACTGGCATGCAGGCAGAATTACCTTGTTCGCTCCCAAATCACGCAGAGCATGGACAGAAGCTAACGATCAAGCCAGAATTTTTAAAACTGAAAATGGCAAAATCAGTTTCAAAATTAAACAAGTAAACTTCTAACTGCAACTGGACACACCTAGGGTTACAAAACTACTCCATGGTGCACTACATTTAGTAGTTGTGAAAGGTTATTACTGGAATATTTGATTTCAGGTAACATTTTGTTTTGGGCAAACTGCCACGATGTCCAGCTTGTTTTTCACTAAATTCTTTTTTGGCCAAATAGCTTTCATTCAAATCACTTACATCCAGTCTAGATCCACCTTGACTGTAAGGTGTAGTCACCTGGAGAGATTTTGATTGAACTGGTCTGGGATGTCATCTGGGCATCAGGAGTTCTTAAAGCTCCTCACCTTAGGTGACTTCCTTGTTTAGCTGAGTTTGAGCACATTGAACAGAAGGGTCCTGCACAGGGGTTTTACAGGACTTTGCAACAAAATCAAGGTAAGGGCCATTAAGTTTCCCATTTATGGACTTAAAATGTCTACTATTAGGTTTTGGGGGCAGTTTCATCCCGCTATCATCTCATGCTGAGTTTGCAGTCATTTCAGGAATATTAAAGAAAATACTTTTTATTTATCTTGTTTGACCCTTCTACCATCTCTCTAAGGTAGCAGGGCAAGCATTATTTTTCCTATTTCACAAGTCAGAAATCAGGTTTAGAGAGGTTAAGAAGCTTTTTGCAGTGTCTAGGAGATGAGGGAGTATGTTAATACTCACATCACTGCTATACATTTCTCTTGGCACTTACCCAGCGTAACCTATTATACGTTTGTTTACATTTACATCCCACTTCCACTTAGGCCGCGAGCTCTTTATCACTTATTATTTATTAACTCGCTATCAGGTTATTCATTCAGAGTGTATTGTTTGCGTTTTTCTTGGTTTTCTTTGGAGGAGGGATGAGATGCGGGGGGCTACTGTAGTGAATAATACAGATATTATGGTCCCCACTTTAGTGAGTATAGGAATCTATTGACGGAACAGGCAAGCAAATGGCAGTTAATATAAAATTAACATTAAAAAAACATGCATGGGTAACTACCTAATCCTTATAGAGAAAGAGGTGTGGGGTGGTTGAAAACTCTTTGCGAAGGGACAGAATGTAAAATCTAAGCTAAAAATTCATACGTGAGGAGAATTTACCCTTGTGAAAATACTACATTCCCCGGTAGAAGGAACAGCCTAAGACTGCAGAAAGAGTGACCTGAAAGTGGATCAAGGGGCATAATATTAGGGTGGGAGTGTGACAAATGAAGCTGAAGAGAGAGGCTGTGTGCCCACACAGATCACAAAATGGCCTTGTATAAGCATTTTTCAGGAGCTTGTGTTGTCCTAGAGAAAGTGGGGTGCCTATGTAGGGCTTAAGCAGGGCACAACACAATCATATGTGTTTCAGGGAAGATCTGGCTGCCCCAGGGCGTCCTCCTGACCATTGAGCTAGGCTTCCACAGACAGGGAGTCCTGCGGTTTTGTCGGCAGGGAAAGAGAATAGTGTCCAAACAGAATGATATTTCCACTTTGGGCAATACAGACCTTCAGGCTGATTTGATATTTGGGGAAACAAGAGGATCCGAGGCTGATAGGTTGGCTGTGGTATAATTCCCTGATTTAGCATGTGCATAATGAGGAGAGAAGTGGGACAGGAGAGAACTAGTAGGTTCGTTTTCAAATATGTTGCATTAGAGTTATCAGGCCTGCTTCTTAGGATTTCGTGTCCTGCATAAAATACACTCAATACATATTTTGATTTTTTATTGTACAGTCCAAGCTTGTAAAATTCTACCAAACCACCTTACTACTGGAAATGATCAAAGTGAAGACCCCCCTTTTTAAGCTGCCTACTTAATCCAATAAGCTTCTGTGCGAAAACACACATTTGCCTGCCCTTAAAAGAGCAGTCGGTTGACTTTCCTGCATGCTCAATGCATATCCGAGGCTCTAAGCTCCCGTCCTCGAAGCGCGAAAATACGGTTCCCCCTGCTGGTCAGAGCTGCGTAATACAGCGTAAGGAGGAGAAATTCCTCGGGGCGTGGTAGTTGGTGGATGACGTAAAAAGAGCGTCGGGGACAGGCGATTGTGCTTGCGTCAACGGCGCGCGCCGTGGGAACCTTGACAAGCGGCATGGCTACGGGTTGTTCAGAGGTGCCGCGGCCAACGGCGGCTTCTGATGGGTCTCTGGTAGGGCAGGCTGGCGTCCTGCCTTGCCTAGAGTTGCCGACTTATGCTGCTGCTTGTGCGCTGGTGAACAGTCGCTACTCATGCCTGGTGGCTGGGCCGCACCAAAGGCACATCGCGCTGTCTCCCCGCTACCTGAACAGGAAACGCACTGGCATTCGAGAACAGCTTGATGCGGAGCTCCTTCGCTATTCTGAGAGGTACCGATCTCTTTGCCTGTTCCTTCTTTTGTGCACGGGAAGTAGCAGCAGGTGGATATGCTGACAACGCAGCAGAAAGGGGGCAAATAGTAAAGGTCGCATTGCCCCCCCAGAGCTTAGCCCCGTGGAATTCTAGAGTCGCGATCCGCCCCTCAAGGCCAGTACCACTGTGGTGAAGATCTTTATAGGGTCCCTTTCATAGATAGAGAAGAAAACTTAAAGATGAAGTTCAGGTGTCGGCGGAGGGAGTGGAGATTCTCGCTCCAGAACCCTGGTGTAGGGGTAGGAACAGACCAGGGGTCTGGAGACCTAGTAGGCCCAGTTCTGTTTGGCATTCAACGTTTCATTTATCCCGTTCCGGATGATGTTTTCTCATTTGACGATAAAAATTTGGTTTGCAGTGCTTAAGTAGATTCTCATTCCATCGAAGATTGCACATGAAGCATTAGTACAACCGTTCTACCTGTAAAACGTGAAGCACGTTTTTTTCTTACTGTATTTCAATCTGGTAATTTCCCCATTTTCTCTTCTTTTGGACCTGAGTTGTTTTTAAGACGATTTATTCAATCGAACTAATGAGCCTGTTGCTTTTGGGAGAGAAAAAAACAAAACGTATGCATTTATATTACGGTATTCAAAAGTGCCTTGAAAACAGAATTATAGAAGTGTGTGGCGGGAGGCGCGGGCATGTGCTTCAGTATTCCTCTGGACTATACTTTGGTTCAAAAGCGAGGTTGTAATACTAGAGTGAATGGATTCTTTAGGGATTCATGACTGTCCTTCAGGAATTCTTATGTGAAGTTCCTTGGGCACTGTATCGGAAGCTTTTATCACTTTCTGAAGGGATCCTTGACCTCCACACACAGGTTAATAATCAAGCATCTCCAGAATATACAGCTTCCTCCAAGCACCAATATACACTTCTCGTATGTTTATATTATATACCGAACACTTGAGATACAAAAACAAACAAAAAATGAAATCCCTATTTCAAGGAGCTTTAAGCTGTAGTAGAGATACAAATACAAGCCAATAAATAGTAAGGTGTTAAAATTTGACAGAAATATAACAAGATAAGGAGTGTTGAATTGGGATCTTGGGACCTCTGAGAACAACTTGAGTGAAGACGGTACTTTCCCATGGTAGCATTCCAGGCAAAGAGTGGCATAGACAAACGGATACTGGATGTGAACCGGTATGCTTTGCCCAGAGAACCGTATCTATTATATAAGTAGAATAAGGTTTATGTCAGGGGAAAGGCATTGGATGCCATTGGAGACGAGGGCAGGGGTGACTCAGAGAGGATGGCCATTTTGCTTTTCCCTTCCTGTCATTTGTCAGTTTTTGTTCTTTTGGGGGTAAGGTGGGGTTGTTGTTTTTCCTTTTGTGTTTCTGTTTTCTTAGGCAGGGTTAGTGCTTCATCCTCTCAGTACCCTTTAACTCTGAGACTTGGTACACTTTTGAGAAAGCAGTACTTATCTGCAGTTCCTGGCATATCAGATTTGCAGTTTCAGAAACAGTACTTGTTAGCCTTACTTAATGGTTAGCTACCAAATAGGATGAGAAAGTGGACAAGGAGAGGAATTAAGATCATGTTATAATTGTTCAAGAGAAAATGATTAGAGAGGATGGATTTGAGAGATTAAAGGATATACAAAGTAGTCATAACATCTGGAAACACAAGCAACCATCCTGTTTTCTGTAACCGTTTTGTATTGCCTGCATTTGACAGGCTAGGGCGGGAAATAACGAAATCACGCCGAGTGACTCTGAACAGATCTGGCCACCACTCCTTTCATATTACTTGGAGATACTGAAGACCCCTGGTGAAATTATTCACCAGGTGAAAATCAGGCACCACACTTTGAACTATGCATTACTAATGAGGGACAAAACATTGAACATACAGTATTAAAGAACTAAAGTGAGGCTACCATCTTGCCCTGATACCTATTTAGGATGGTATCTGAAAAACAAAAGTGAAGGAGGAAAAAGTATATAGTGTTGGGTGCCTGTGTTCACATATCTGATGACTCTTAACAAAATCCCCCTTGAATTTATATATTGCTAAATTCCTGAACAATTTAATATAGATTAAAAATATGCAAAGATGACTGTATGTTGATGTTAAGAGTTAAATTAGGTTCCTAGCTATTTGTAAACAGATTTGTCCTTTTATTCAAAAGTCAGAGCTAAGGATATTTCCTCATTGTACCGACTGTCCTGTACATGACAGACTCTTTTCTGCCCTGGCTTGTGCAAAGTTTGTGATAACCATGATTAGTATCACAAATTTCCAAATGTCCCCCCTCCCACCAGGGGACCACAGACCTCCTTCCAGACACGGCTTTGATTAGGAGAAATAAAGTCTTAATATTTGTTTTTCTGTCTAGTATGGCAGTTAATTTTTCTTCCTATTCTCTGACTCTGTTTTCTGTGTCCCTAACATCGTCTTAGTGATAGGATGATTCCAGCTTAGGAATGCCACATGCAGAAATGAAAACCTCAGAAGATTGCTTTCCTGAGTAAGTCTCTGAGTTAGGATTTTCCTAATTTGGTAGTTCTTAAAGTTTATTTTCTGTGGCTCCTGGCTGTTTTAGTAAACAACAACTATTAGGGATAAATGCTTTCCCTTATTTTATGTGAATTGTGTTAGAAGTTTAATTGAGTTCAAGAAAAAATATTCTTTGCTATCAAAGGCCTTAGAGTCATGTGTGAAATTCAAACATATATACAGATAGGTTCAATACAGTTAGATTAAGAACAGTGAGAAAGCTGGCCTATAGGAGTAGAGGAATGATTTCAGGTTTGCCTAGGGGAGTCAGGGAAGTGTTTTCCAACAAGTAATGAAGCCACCAGGTTGTGTTTGTTTTGTTGTTTCTTGTTCCTTTGTTTGAGATGGAGTCTCCCTCTGTCGCTCAGGTTGGAGTGCAGTGGTGAGATCTGAGCTCACTGCACCCTCCACCTCCCACCACTAGGTCTTTCTCCTTAATAGCTATAATTCCTTAAGAACTAAGAAATGACAGTTTGAAAAATAGTTGTCCCTTAATCCTGATTGTTACATTTGTAGACTAAAGTGTCAAGAGTCAGTTCCTAAATGTAGTTGTATTAACATTTGCATTTACTAGCAACAGTTTAAGTTTGGGATTTTCTCCATTAAGTCATTGACTTTAAAATTCAGGGGCTTCAGCTTTAACTGTAATGCTTCCCTTGCTATATGCCGTCAAGTACTGAAATTCAGTAATGGTGAATAATACCAAAATTGCCTCTTGTTCAGTCATGCTCACAGAGATACACGTTTTCTTAGCTAAGTCCCTTCTTTCTATCCTAGTATAACTTGAAGAATTCAAATAGTCATGCTAGAACAGAAAGAATGGGAGTTGGCAAGGGAAGAAGAGTTGATTTACTGCTCATGCATTAATGGATATTTTGTTTCTGTGTATCTTGAATCATCATTTTAACTTAGCCAACACATCAGAATCCATTGGTGAAACAGGACTACTAAAGTTGTTACAGACTAATCATATACTATTGTTTTTGACATGCGTGGTGTATTTAGGAGATGTGTAGGCTTTGGACTCTTAGAATATCTAATCAGTATGAAAATGGCCTGGTTTAAAAGAGTGCAGTGGTGCACACCTATAATCTCAGCACTTTGGGAGGCTGAGGCAGTAGGATCACTTGAGCCCGGGAGGTCCAGGCTGCAGTGAGCCCTGTTCATGTCACTGCACCCTATCCTGGGTGACAGAGTAAGACCCTGTCTCCAAAAAAATAAGTAAGTAAAAGAGGATAAAATATATCATTTTCAACTTTTTCTTTTTACAGCCTTTTAGGTGTCCCTATTGCATATGATAACATCAAAGTTGTGGGAGAACTTGGAGATATTTATGATGATCAAGGACACATTCATCTTAACATTGAAGCTGATTTTGTTATTTTCTGCCCTGAACCGGGGCAAAAGCTTATGGTATGTGTATCCCTTTTTTCTAGCTCCCTTTGTACAATTCTATAATTATGTAACTTGGAACATTTTAAAAGGTAATATATACCTTGGGACTCAAATAAATTGCTATTGTGAGTAAATAAATATTTTTATGGAAAAAATAATTTGTATCATCCAAACCTAGGTAAGTTTTTTAATATCCTCCTAAAACACATGCATGCACAGAATATATGTCCCATCCACTTTATTATTTTCATAGTCACAGAATGATTTTAAGGGAAAAAAATCAATTATCATTATTTCAAAAGTTCTCAATTCTACACAAATACCATTTCTTTACAAAGGTTTCAAAGAATATATAGCAGTATATAAAACAGGAATTCAAATGGGCCAGGCAGTAATGAAAATGTGTGAATGACAGATGACAGGGCAGCCAGTCTGTGCCTTGGAAATGGAATCTCTGTGGGAAAGGTCTTCCAGTTTTTCATAAGCTGGAAATGCAGATATTGATATGAAATCTACTGAAATAGATCCTTTTTTACTCTTTACTTTCTCCTGTCTTCCTCCAGCAGTTCTCTGTGTATACACATGTTCATATGTATACTCATATGTGGGTGTATATGCTCTTTTCTTTAGCTGATAAATATTTTAATCTAATAGATCAGAACTGTTAACTAACCCTTGATATTGTTCATAAAAATATAGATCAATTTAACCATGACAAAACCCAGAAGGCACTTCCAATTTTTTTCATTTATCAATATCGAATTAATACAAATAGTATCCTTTGCCTGTTAAACTGGAATCTTATAACTGGACTACTGAAGTTGGCAGTAGATGTGTATTTGGAAATTAAGAAACTTAACTTTCATCTACTTTGTGTAAATTATTATTTTAAATATAAACATGTAGGCCAGGTACAGTGGCTCACCTACCATCACAGCATTTGGGGAAGCTAAAGCAGGAGGATCACATGAGGCCAGGAGTTCAAGACCAACCTGGGCAATATAGTGAGACCGCATCTCTACACAAAATAAAACATTAGCCAGGCATGGTGGCATGCATCTGTAGTCCCAGTTACTTAGGAGGCTGGGGTAGGAGGATCACTTGAGCCCAGGGGTTCCAGGCTGCAGTGAGCTATGATTGTGCCAGTGCATTCCAGCCTAGGCAACAGTGAGACCCTGTCTCCAAAAATACAGGGTCTGCCCGCAGACCCTGACCTAAAAGACGGATGAATAAAACCTTCACTGACACACAGATATTCTGTTTTGCCAGTACTGCTGAGTGTCCGACCGCCTACACACCAAGAGAGGTTTGAGGTGTGTCCCTGCCGCTGGCCCTGAGCAGTTCACACTCCGGGCATTTATTTAGTATACAGTTAACAATAGAAGTTCTGAGTCCACACACTTGTGGATAATTAACATGGTCAAGAGAGTAGTTCTACAAATAATTAAAGCTCAGGTACCGAGGTTTAAAGTAAATGTCATTAGGGGGCAATATCTCTGGGCGACCTCCCCCCGCCCCACCCCCAGAGGGCCATCTGACTTAAAGGTTAGTTAATGGAGGTAGGGTAAACAGACTTAACTGAGGAAGCCTCTATTGTCCCTAGTATTTACCCTATAACTTAATGCTCTAAGGTAAGAACCGGCTGTCTTCAGCCTGTTCAATTATTACAAGCTATATAACCTTTTGGCCTTCCAAAAAGGTTTGTGACTATTCCCTATAACTTTCCCTAATATTTCCCTTTAATATTTCTGCCACTTTCATGAGTGAATCCCAACAACTTATCTTCCATTATAGTATGATACAGAATAGTTTTCCTCTCCTAAAAACTCCTGTGCTCCATCTATTCATGTCTTCCTTCTTCCCCCTGTTCCCTCTAATCCCTGGCAACCACTGATCTTTTTACTGTTTCCATAGTTTTGCCTTTTTAAAGAAGAATAGAGTATGTATCCTTTTCAAATTGACTTCTTTCACTTAGCAATATGCATTTAAGGTTTCGCTATGTCTTTTATGGTGAGAACTTATTTATCTTTGTTACTGAATAATCTTTTATTTTATGGATGTACCAGTTTGTTTATCTAGACCATCTGGAAACTACCAGTGGGAACACTAGACTTCTGACCATACCAGATAGGGAAGTTTTATTATGTCACATGTGTAAAGGGTTGCTGATGTTAAACAGCATTATATAGATGTCAGTATTATTTGCAGTTTTGTAATTCAGAAAATGTGAATTTTTTAATATTTCTGGGTCTCATTCATATGCTTTGTATATATTGACCCTGAGAAGAAAAATAAGTTTTATGTAGAGTCTCATCTTAAAATCATATAGCACATATTTTTGTTTTAGTTTTAAAGCTTCTAATAATACTTTTGTGATTTAGCCAAAAATAGTCATGGTCAATATTTACATATAAAGGGTAAGCTGTCTTCTAATGGAATGCTTGCATCATGCTAAATTAAATAAAGAATGCATTTTTAAGCTTTGAAATTTGGTCTATTTACAGAAACATAACATAGATCCCAGTTATAAAACACATATGAGGTCTTTTTATAGGTTATATGGGAGTATTTTCTGCATGGTTTCAATGTAGCTAAAGAGTAATAATCTCCTCCCCAAGGAATCCTGCAGTGGGGGGTTTAGGTGGTTTTTTTCTTGGACAGGGTGGCGGGGGCAGGTTAGTTTATCCAGTTAGACAGTTAATGTGCAATTACTTACATAATAAAGTTTGAGCTTTCTCAAAACCCAAAGGTATTCTAAAGTGATGTTTTGGCATGACATGGGGTAAGTTTTAATTGAGGTAAACTTTTTCCATATTAAATTAGACCATTAACTTGATGTTTGCTCTTTGAAGATTATTTGAAGCTTGTAAAGTTTGGTTCACCTTTTAACTTTGTGGATCTGTTCTTTATGTTACGCTCTTCCTTCTTCTTCCCAGGGTATAGTTAATAAAGTGTCTTCTAGCCACATTGGCTGTTTAGTACACGGGTGTTTCAATGCCTCCATTCCTAAACCTGAGCAGTTGTCAGCTGAGCAGTGGCTAACCATGGAGATAAACATGGGTGATGAACTAGAATTTGAAGTATTTCGTTTAGACTCAGATGCTGCTGGAGTATTCTGCATTCGGGGAAAACTAAATATCACAAGGTTAGTTTATCATTACATAATTATCATTAGGTACTTAATTTCTATTTAATTCTGAATTTAGAGAACATAAGCCTGTCTTTAAAAATATCTGTTTATAGGAATATTCATGCTTTCAAACCATAAAGTCAATATAAACAATACTGTTTTTTTTTTTTTTTTTTTTTGAGACGGAGTCTTGCTCTGTCCCTGGCTGGAGTGCAGTGGCGCGATCTCGGCTCACTGCAAGCTCCGCCTCCCGGGATCACGCCATTCTCCCGCCTCAGCCTCCTGAGTAGCTGGGACTACAGGCGCCCGCCACCGCTCCCGGCTAATTTTTTGTATTTTTAGTAGAGACGGGGTTTCACCGTGTTAGCCAGGATGGTCTCGATCTCCTGTCCTTGTGATCCGCCCGCCTCGGCCTCCCAAAGTGCTGGGATTACAGGCGTGAGCCACCGCGCCTGGCAACAATAGTCTTAAGTAATCTGTAACAGTGCATCAAATATTCTAAAACACTGACTAGCTAACTGGTCTGTATTTCAATATTCAATAGCTCAATTTTGCTGAGTATTTTCTATTTTGTTGTTAACTTTTTTTTTTTTTAATTGACCTCTAAACTTGAAACTACTGAAAGCACAATTACCTTCCTATTGGCCTGCTTTGTTTTTACACACAAAAAATTGTGTTGATTATTGTCATCTGTGCCAGATATTTTAATTTCTGTATTATTCTGTATTGAAATTATTATAAGAATTACTCTGATCTTGAGCTTGATTCCATGGGAGCCAAGTTTAAAGGAAGGAGGAGAGAGACAACTCTTAGAATGCTGCTATTGCTAATAATTTTTTCTATATTTTGCCTTAAAGTTACAAGAGTATGGGTTGAAGTCTGGAACAGCTGTTCAGTTTCTGTGATGACAGAAATATAGTATATATACATAATACAGCAGCCTCACTATTGAGCATTGAAATGTGACTAAGTCTGACTGAGGAACTGCATTTCTAAAGTTATGTTGTTGGTATTGATTAGGTACATGTGCCTAGTGCTACTGAGTAAAACTGAAGTTCTGGAGAGAGAGCTACTTCATTGATCCATGTTTTATTTTAGTGGGATAAAATAATTCACAATGTTAAAGTAACACTATCTTAGTATCAGCTAAGTAGAACAATGGACTATTATTTGAAACAGGATTAAAACAGTAGACTGGAAACTCCATTACTTTGATACGTACCAGATCGTATTTTCTATTAGATGTCAGTGGTTTGGTTAATAAGCCTAGGTGTTGTGGTGTTTAATGTTCAGTGACCAAATTTTTCTGAGACAACCCAAAACTTGGAAGACATGTTTTGACAAGATTCTTATGTCATTTTTATGTGTGGAAACAGTCTGGGAGAAGTTCTTCATAAAGAAAGAATTTAACATTTAATGTTAAATTTAACATTTTTCAATTTAACATTCAGCAGCCTATGCATATTTTAGTGGATTGAGGGATAACGGGATAGAATATTTGGAATTTATGCCATGGTTATGTGTCTTGTACTACTGTCATTATTTAGAAAACCTTAGCCTGTTAGGGTATCTTGATCTCAATTTGTTCTTTGTTTTTTGCTTATTGCTCTGTTCATTTTTTTAATTGTTAATTTATAGTTTACAGTTCAAGCGCTCTGAAGTTTCTGAAGAAGTTACAGAAAATGGCACTGAGGAAGCTGCTAAAAAACCTAAGAAGAAGAAAAAGAAGAAAGACCCAGAGACATATGAAGTGGACAGTGGTACCACAAAGCTAGCAGATGATGCAGATGACACTCCAATGGAAGAGTCAGCCCTGCAGAATACTAATAATGTGAATGGCCTCTGGGAGGAGGAGCCAAAGAAAAAGAAAAGGAAGAAAAAGCACCAGGAAGTTCAGGACCAGGACCCTGTTTTCCAAGGCAGTGACTCCAGTGGTTACCAAAGTGACCATAAAAAGAAAAAAAAGAAAAGAAAACACAATGAAGAGGCTGAATTTACCCCACCTTTGAAATGCTCACCAAAAAGAAAAGGGAAAAGTAATTTTCTTTAGTGTATTTTAAATATGATTCAGTTTTTAAAAGATCGATCGACATACAATTGATGAATAAATGTTTTCAGTTATATGAAATGGTTAAGCATACCAGTAGTTTCCAAAACAGAAAATACTGAACTAGGAGTAGGAGGCTCTATGTGCTAAAAATGATAAAACTGACTATAAATTAATTTGGGGAAAATCAGTATTATTAAAGTACCATTTTATACAAAATAAAAAGATAGCTGCTCTCACTGTCGGCTCTCACTGTCGGCTCTCACTGTCGGCTCTCACTGTCGGCTCTCACTGTCGGCTCTCACTGTCGGCTCTCACTGTCGGCTCTCATATTCTTCCAGGTTTTGCACTCTACATAAAATTATTTCTACAATGTCAAGACTAGCCAAAGGACTTTATAATACAATATTATATGACTGAAGAATGAGTTAAGTTTGAGATTTTGATGATTTGATTTTGTGTGTGTTTAATAGGCTTCACCTCATTACATGCTATTTTATTTTGCTTTTTTAAAAACTCAGGACATTAACTAGTTTTAGGTTTTCCTTTATCATGGCTTCTACAGTATTTCTATTGTTTAACATAAAATGGTTTTCCAAAGAAGTTTCTGAAGCCTTCACAGCTCTTAAAAGCCAGGCCTGGACTGACTCTGTGATGGTAAATGCTATTCGTTACTTTTTTTCTTCCAGGTGCATATGTGTCCTTGTCTTCTTAAGTCTGAGAGGTTGATGGAAAGGACTGTTTTCTTGTACTTGTTCATTTGTTCCTCAGCCATTCTAATTTTGTTGTATGTTGGAGGAGAGTCTAATGAAGACAGGATAAATGTGATTCTGACTTGTGGGAAATTTCAGATTACTTTTTAATGATTGGAATGGGCTATAAGATATTGTGCTGAAGAGAAAACAGTTGTTCTGTTCACTGCTTTCATTGAGAAAATGTGGAATGTCTCTTGACTAATTGACAAAGTGTAATGAAATGACAAGCTGGTTGAAGCTGATAATCAATGCATGGCCATATTTATTCATTTTCCACATACTTGACCATCTACTTTGTATAACACATTCTGCTAAGGCCCAGGGATGTAACGGCAAACAAGATAGATGTAGTTCCTTCCCTTGTGGCATGTCATAAGAGAGACAGATGTGCATATACACACAATAAATAAGAAAATTAATAATTGTGTTAAGTGGAATGAAAAAAACCAGGGAGGATTGTTCACTCACTGTTACCTGTGTTAGTATTTTGCAAATAGATTTATGGTTGAACTCCCATTTCAGCATTTTTGTTGCCATTTATTTAGTACCAGACATAGTGCCGATCTTACAGCTAAATATTTGGTAATGAATAAATTCTGCTAGTGATATATGTTGATCTGAACTTATAATGATGGGTTACAGAACTGGCAGAGTGGCAGATGTTGACAATTGTCTACAAGTAGATGTGCTAGACAATGGAAGGGTGCAGGCCAACCTCTTTGATTACAATTGAGATTCATGTGAGTATTGAGCCCTGGAAATATAGCTCGTCCAAATTGAGATGTGCTGTCAGTATAAAGTACATACCAGATTTTGAAGATGTACCAAAAAATGTAAACTGTCTCAGTTTTTGTACTGGTGAAATCAGTATGTTTTGGTATAGTGGGTTAAATAAAACAATTTTTGCCTTTCTCAGTTTATTTTTCTACAAAGATTAAAAATTGTATATGAAGCTCACATTAACTTTCTTTTGGTCAGTGCTATTTTAAAGGAAGTGTGAGTTGAAAAAACTTTGAAATAAACTGTATCATATTACCAGGACTTAATATAGTGGCATACCCAGGAAATGTTTAATAAATATTCCCTTCACATTTTAAAATTTGAGTATACAATCATGTTTGACAATAGAGAAATTTAATTTTTAGTGAAACAATTCTAAACCCCTTTTCCACAGACACAAAGAAAGATGTCAAATTTATGCTATTGCTGGAAAAATACATTGTGGCTTAGCAAAATAAGCAAGTTCCCACATTACTTTTGTTTTGCTTCAAGTAGTACTTCTGCCAGTTGTGTTTTATGAATTAAACAGGGAGCGGCATGCTGAACTTGAAACTAGATTTGTTCCTGCTTTTTTCATAATGTGAGTAGTTTTGAAAAGTCAGATCTGGCCATTTGTCTTTCCTAGAATATAATAATTTTGTTCATTGTTTTTTTGTTCATCTTTCTGACACAAAAAGACTGATGATGGTGTCTACCATATATTCTTCAAAACATTTGTCACATGCTGCACTAACCTCGTGTATCTTTTCTGTCTTGGAATTTGTTCATATAAACCCTCTAGCCTAGACTAGATCCCTTACCCTCTCTCCAGTTCCTATCATTCACCCATTTCACTGTGCAAGACACCTCACTAGTCACCAGTGATACAGAAATGACTTAATCAGTTTTTGCTCTTAAGGGCTTACCGTTTTGTCTATAAGATACACATCTAAGTATACATGATAAGTACGAATGAAAATGAATGTTTAATGCTTTATGCTTAGTGTTTAAGCTGGTTGTTGGATGAGCAGCATTTTGACCCTTGGAGAAGAAAAACTAACTGTGGCAATTCCAGGTGGAGAACCTGACAGAGGACTAAGAAGTTATCTAATGTAAAAGACCTCAGGCACTACCTTCTGCATAAACTTTTTCCAGACAAGGCTAAATGTGCATGCTTCATAACCATAATTCTTATTTTTCTTTAATAAATATTTTTCTACTTGTAACACTCTGCATTATTTCAAACTGTTCACCTGTTTGAAAAGCTTGTCTCTTAATCAAATTTGTCTCGACCAAATGTTTCCTGAGGACTGGAATTATGCCTTAACTGTATCTATAGTAAATCTATAGTATTTAACAGTGAATCCTTTGTATAATGAAAGCATCAACAGATAGTTTTAAGTTGATAAATAAAAAGCACAGTTTCAAATGGTATCACTTTGCCTCTGATGTGATATTATTAACCTCTTCACTTGTTTCAATAAATGCATCCTTTTTTTTTTTGCCTATATGTAATATGGTTTTTAAGGACTTTTATCACTTCAGTGTGTCAGGGATAGAATACTTACAAATGACATGACAGAAATTTGATCTCTATAACTTGTTTTATACATTTACCACATGGGTCATCTTTGCCTTTTTTTTTTTGCCAAAGAGTAGATACTTTATGTTACAAAATCAATACATATTTGTTTAAAAATTCAAATAGTAAAAGTATATACATCCTCCCACTCTACCAGTCATTGATCTCCCTCCCTATTCCTCACCACACACACCCACTTCGCAATTCTACTTCCAGAAATAACCACTATTGTCAATTGCATGTGTAGTTTTAGAGATTTTTAAGTAGTGAATTTTAAAATATTTTAAGACATATATGGAATCAAACTACCTGTACTTTTTGGGCCCATCTTCTTTTATAGTAAATATCTTCCCATATGAATATATAGAGGTCTTCCTATTTTTAATGTTTGCAGAATTTCAGTGTATAATTTATTTCATTTCCTAAGGTTGGATATTTAGGTTGTTTATATTTTCCCTCTTAAAAGGGTATTGTTAACATTTCTAAAAGCTTTCATTGCTATTTTAATTGCTGTCTTAATTGCTCATTTCCAGCTGTATTGTACATTATGACCTCCACAGGTAAGCTCTGATTCCTACCTTTAGAAATGGAGATATTTTAGGAGGCCAGTACATAGTTCAGTTTTTAAAGATATTCTTTAGGCACTTGAATGGTTATTTTTTAGGTAGAAAAAGCACTCTTTTAAAAGAGATTTTATATATCATAAAGTGAGAACAAAACTGAAAAATAATGGATAATTCTGCACATGTGACTTTTTGTGGTATTTCTCTTGGACAATTCATGGGAAAGTTCAATATGTCTTCAACTCAGAATATCACTGGCTCTCCTTACTAAACATAAAGATGTTCAGATGTTTGCTCTAAACTATTTTCTTATCCAAATCTCCACTTTGGCAGTAGGAAATAACTTCATGGCATCATTTTGTCTTCTATTTTCAAATAAATATTTGGTACACTGAATCATCCCAGTTGTTTTATCTCAGACATTTGAATGCTAGACTTGTTCCTACTTACTCACATTGATTTGATAACCTGTCCTGAATATGTTTGAAAATTTTTAGTAAGGCAAAAATTTATTAAGTTATAAAATTGGAGTAATTAAGGGGGAAAAAAGGTAGAATCAACAAACCTAAGTCTACAACCACGATTTCAATAGCAAATAAGCTGCAGTCTTTATAGTTGTAGGTAATTAGTTCCACATTCATTGGCTACAATTAGAAAATTCTCTGGCACTCACCTACTCACAGAAAAACAAGGACACATGAAATCCCTTGTCCATTCTTGTCTTAGTAAACAGCTGGAAATAGAAGCTAAAAGAGCCGTCAAAGAAGACCATAATTTTAGCATTTAAAATTAGAATGCATTAGTAAATAAAATGACCTACAAATTTATGAGATTATAGACAAGAAAGAGCTAAATACAATGTTTCTAATACAGGAGAGAAGTTCCTGCTAATTCTGCATCCCCCGTAACTTGTTACAGTCTAATGTCTTTCAAATTTGGTTGTCTATAGACAAGATCACCAGTTACAGAAGATTCTTATAGGCATCAAATATGCCATATTTTGTAATTATGCCTGTGTGCAAGGGAGCCTGAAAAGATACTAACTCTCAAAAATGAATGATTAAACAAAAATATTTCAATGCTTAGTGTTCTAAGATATTCACACCCAATTTTTATTTATTACTTTTAAATTCTACAAGGTGACAATGATTTAACCCCATTGGGTGGAGTTTTTTTAAACAATTTTAGTGACCTGTCTAAGCTGTGTTTCTTTACCTATAAAATGAGACCACTGAATTGGAAACCAGATTATCTGAAAGTTCCTTTCACTTAGAGAATCCTGAGTATCATTGATACTGCTGTCTATTGAAGGAAAGAACTGTGAAGAGTCTAAGCTTTTATCCAACTTGCAAACTAATACTCTGCCACAACTTCATGGATGCTAGCTTAAGACAAAAGACTCCTAAATCAGAGACAAAAGGACTTTAATTATTACTCACTGCACCTCAATAAGCTCCATGTTTTTACCAGCCAGTTCCCATTGCACCCCAAGTCCTATAGGAACAATGCAGAGCCCCAGGGAGCTACTGTGCATGAAGGGCGTTTGTGTCACAGCTGAGAAACGCCATGCTTAGGGAACCCCAGTGATTTATAGAAAATG